AAAGACAGAGAGGACAAAAACTTCCAACTACAAGCATGAGAACCGGTTCCATTCAGCGTATGTATGTGGGAGACAACAAGAACAATGCAAAGGCAATTATCAGTTGGAGATGTCGTTAAGGTCGCCAACGTTAAGACAGAAACTACTTTGAACCGTATCTCTAAACTTTCAAACTGGATTCACCAGATCACAACGGTAGCAGTCAGCCCACGTCTGTGAGGCCAAAAATTAAAACCAAATGTTCTCAGAAATACGTTGCACCCTCCATTCACTGCCATGTGATAAACTGTTAACTGTCTTCAACACAGGGCCAAAGTGGTTGGCCGCCAGAAGATGAACATTAAAAAAATCATAGGAATCATAACCATAAAGAAGGGAGACTTCACCTTGAGTAGAGTTCAACCAGGAGGTGCCACACGTTTGTTGTGTCGTCTAAACTTCTGCGAAAGTCGTTCGACCTCCAAACTGGAGAAGGGATTTAAGAAAGTCTCCCCTCGATAAAATTCCTCTCTCAGCAAATGCAGAAATACACGAAGTAAAATTAAAAAAGATTAACAGCCGGAAAAAATAATGTTAATAAGGATGCCAATTATTGAGTATCAGGTGAACTAAAACATAATTTTGTTTCTTATAAAACATTTACCCAAACATCACTTTTCTGATTTATGCTCATACTTCTCCCCCAAAATCCGCTCTCCTTATCTTTTTGTTCTAGTCTCATCTGGTTAAAGTTCAATTTGTTAAGATAATAACAAATTATTGACTTGATCAGCAGAGATGAACGGTTGTAGCGTAGCTTGTCCAAAATACTATCTGCTAGGATTTGTTAGCTAAGTCTCTGTTAAATCACTCATGGATTCTACATCTCAAATTTAGATTACTTGTTTCGCTTGTGTGCCAAGAATTGTTTGATCATTATTAATATCGCAAAGAAACTTTTATAGATTAAATTTGTTAGGTGTACATTAAATAGTGTAGCACCTTAGTTTATTATCCTACCTTAAAGTGTAACGGTTAATCAGCTTTTATTGAAGCATTTTTGATGATTGATAATATCCATGAAGTGCTTATTTAATCCGTCCGGACTTTTCAAATCAAACATTGGTGTAAATTGTTTTGTACGTCAGATTAAAAATTATTCCTCATCATGGTTTCTTTTTATCTGTATTAGCATCAGTTTTTACAATTTTTACATTTATGTTGTTTTATTACTGCCATTCATCAGAAGAGAAAACACGGATCAAACTAACATTTGTTAGAAACTTACCATTAAATCTTCTAACTGTTCCATCGACAGTATAAACCAGTGCTGTAAAAAAAGTTTTATTCATGTTAATGTTTCCATGTTAGTCTTTATTTGTTACTTATTTTTTCCCCCATGGCTACTTCAAACCTGAGTCCCTCTCGTTGTGATTTCTTCAAACTCGTCTTCCAGAGTTTGCATTGCGTCCACCTTGTGTATGTCAAAGACGGTTGGCTTTTTTGCCTTAATAAATAAAATCATTAAAAACTCATTCTGTATTTACTCAGGTTATCTTTGTCTAATATAAATTGGTTTGATATCTTGAACATTTAAATGTGACAAATATGCAAAAAAATCAGCCAGAGAAATAAGGAAGGGGAGCAAAACTTTCACAGCACTAAATAACGCCGGAAGCTTTCAGATCTGCGAATCCTGCCAATTTCTTCTCTTATGGGCCAGCAGGGGCAGGCTCCACGTTATAGTAGGAGTTCTTATGGAGAAGTTGATTTATGAGCTTGAATGTTTTTAACGTTTTCTTCATACAGGATTCTGCTTGAAATTGGGATTGTTGGAAATACTTTGTTTTTCTTTTCTGTCCAAGCTTGAATGTATTTCAGTTTATCTGCGAGGTAAAAATCACTGGTTTTATTCAATGGAGTCTGGTGGGCCGTGTCATTTGGGTCTTGAGAGGCTGCTCTAGTGCGACCATCTAGGGCGCAAATCTAAATATAATCTGTCTGCACAGTAACTTAAAGTGGTTGACATTCAGATTGTGGAAAATGTTTTATTAGACATTGAAAAAACAACTGTTTATTTCTACTTGACCTTTATTAAAAAATATTATCAACAAAAATATGCAACACCCACACTCAAACAAAAGCGTTCCACCATCCATCCATGTAACCTACACACACACCACAGTTTGTGTGGAACATGAGGGAAACAACATCGTTACATGAGCTTCCCTGTTGGTTACTGTGAAAAAACAAAAACAGTTTCTGGGCAAGCTGACGTTAATCTATGAGAAATCAATAAGTGAAGGGTTTCGTTCCAAAACCTTTGCAATCCAATTTTTAATAATTAAAGGTGGGAGATAAAAATGACCTGAATTATTCCCCTGTTGACTTTCCAAAATATACAATATTTATATATACCATGGCAGTGAAAATCCTCTGGGTTGGCAGCCGTTTTTTTGGAAGGAAACTCTTCGGCTTTAGAAAATCTGACGACTCGAACTGTAGTTTACTCCACACACACACACACACACCACACACACACACACACCACACACACACACACCTCTCTTTGACATTCAACAGGGAAAAAACAAGAAAATCTACAAAAAGCGTTAGGCATATTTACACTTTGAGGTTGAGCTTTCCTCCTGAGGCTGTGCACATCAGAACCCGTTTGCTCGTCTTAATATCGAGGGAATTATTCAACATATCCACAGATGAACACGTTACGTTAAGCTGTACGCGCTTTTATTTTACTCGTAATAAAAACCAAATCTTTGAAAGGAAAAGAAACAAACGAGCAGTCCAGCCCCCCCCCCCAACACTGTGTCAGAAACTAATTCCAATAACGTTGCCGCTTTCTTTGGGTCAGAGTCAAACGACGTGACTGAGGTTACCATTGGACACGCACGCGCTCATGCGGTGCCGACCGCCGTTCAAACATACGGGAGAGAAACAAAAAACTCTTGCTGAAGAGGGAAATACGGCCGAACATTTCAAAATAAAACACCAAGAAGAATCTGATTTTATTCCACCAGTGAAAACCTCAAATATCAGAAAATATATAAAAACTTAAATCTGGGACACCTGCAGATTAAAAAAATCCTTCGTAAAGGCCCCCCCTCTGGAACAGCGAGCCGATTGCTTTAATCACCATTTAGAAGATGTTTAAAAGATAAAAAAGCGAATAAAATAGTGCATTTAATTTAGCAAATGTAGGCAAAAACACCATTTATTAATTAAGTTAAATCTGCATCAACATTAGCAAAAGAATGATTGATGTAGCTATAGTAGCATTGGCCAGTGGATTGATGTTTGATTTACTATCTGGGATCATTTTACATGCATTAGTTACTTATTACCTTAACTCGTAAGGCTAAACATTTTCTACATTAGCTAATAAGATGATATTTGATCTTTTAAACATCTTTTAAAAATGTTGGTTGTCTTTCCATTAGCTTGGCATATTAGCATCTCTCAGTAACAGCAAGTGTGGTACATGATGGCAACTTTAAGCAAGAGAGATTTGAATCTATCAACAGTGATTTGATCAGCAGTCTGCTGAGTGATTTTCAAATGAAACAGAAAATGAAGCAGGAAAACCCAGGAAGTCCTTGAAAATCATTCCATATGTTTGTGGCAGAAGTGAATAAAAACCTTTTCTACGGGACTTGAGCTCCCGAGTAACAGGAAACATAAAGGAAAAATATTTAAGTTCAATCAGTTCTGGGTGGTTCAATTAAACTCCTGCTGGTTCTTTTTGAAAGCGCTCCTAAAGACACACACACACACACAGACACACACACACACACACACACACCAGACAGACACACACACACACACACAGACAGAACACACCACAACACAGACAGAACACACACACACACAGGACAGACACACCACAAACACACAGACACACACACACACACACACACAGACAGACACACACACACACACACACACACACAGGTGAGGAGGAATGACATTGCGAAGCTTTGTGCCTGTTTTCTTCGGGACAAACTTAAACAGAATAAACTCCAAATTAAAGTTCTCAAACGGCTCTCTTCCTCTTCCTCTTCCTCCTCGACTCAAGACTCCTTAAAAGTTTGTTTTTGCTCCTTTTCTTTCTTTGTGGAAAACTTTTCTGCGTCAGATTTCATGATGTTCGAGCAGCTCCCGACTGTCCTGCGCTCTCATTGGCTGACGATGAGCTGCCGCAGGTACGACTGCGTGAGGCCTCGCAGCTCCTCCAGCGTGTAATCCTCCGGCATCGGCAGGCGGGCGATGTGCGGCGCCAGCTGGGCGAGCGGGATGCTGAGGGAGTCAGACGCCGCGTCGCCCTGCTGCAGGCTCAGCACCGCGCGCAGGATGTTCGCCACACGCTTCGCCATTTCTGCATGAAGGGAGGAGGGGGGAGGGGGTGGGGCTTGGTTAGCGACACAACCCGAACAACAGCAGCTGACTTTACCTGAACCTCCGCATTCGCTACGACGACTCTTCCCTCGACTCTGCAGAACCTCCCTAGTTGTGTTTTATGAGGGAACCTTGTAACGTACACTCTGATCTGCCAGAGGTAGACTCGTTTTATAACCACGTGTTTCTGCGTTGGTCCTAACAGACGCAGCCTTCCTGTGAATACGTGGTTAAAATCCAGTGCACCTGCAGCATTATAGTAAAGTACCGATGGTGCAACGTTAACAGTAACAAACCTTACTGATTCTGTCTCTGCTTTTATTCTCCGCCTACCTGAGGAATCATTGTAGTCTTTTAGAACTACAATCCTCATCATTCAGGGTCTGTGGGGTTGTCTCTAATCCTCACCTTCACCTGACGTCAGCCAATCAGAGCACAGATGTGTCGGTGAGTCTTACCTGATTGGGCGAGGCGGTCTCTGGCGGTGCTGCAGGGCAGGAGCTCGATTCTGCTGCACAAAGACGTCACGTTGGTGTGGAGACGCTCCAACTCGTAACCGGCGTTCTCCATCTGGAAGAACACAAACATCAAAACTCATCAGGACCCGGTGGACGGTACCGGTACGTCACCCGGTGGACGGTACGAAACTTGGTACAAAAATGTTTCAGGTCCTTGTATGGACATATCCTGTGAGTTTCGTGATGATCGACCACACAGTTGTTGATTTATGTCTGTGTCTGCTCAGTCCCACCCCCTCTGAAGCTCATTGATCAATATCTTAAACAATCTATCAATAATTGTTAGAAAACCTCTGATAAGTTTGGGCCAGTTTATGTCTAAGTGAGATATCTGGAGTCCGTACCTGCTGGATGTCCTGCAGGGTCTTTATGACTCGGATGTAGTCCAGGTAAACCCTCCCTGCGGTGTCCCAGTCCTGGATGGTGGCGCTGTGTTCAGGGACCGCCAGCCCCTCCAGGAACTCCAGCAGGTAGTCGTGGTTGTCGTTGATGATGCAATCTACGGGAGGAAGTGAGGGACAAAACACAAGATTATAAAATGAGAAGGGTGAAAACATTTTCAGCACCGACTTCAATTAAAAAAAGAACTGAATCATACGTTTGTACATTGAATGTATGATTTATACAATTAGAATTTTTTTATGTAATCCTGCAGAAGATACTAAAACAGATAAAAATGATATTTAAATAAGATTATTGATCCATAAAGCCCAGTGAATCAGAGAGAAACACCGAGTCCCTCCGAGGGTTCAGACCTGAGGCCAGGTGTTGGATCAGCAGCCGGTGACACTGGCTCCAGTATCCGGCCCGGTACAGGTGCAGGGCCTCCTGGTGTCGGTCGGCGTCGCGGCGGGCTCTGGTGGCCTTGGCCTCGTGGATCCACTGCTCCGGGATCAGCAGCCTCTCGGTGAGGAAGCGCTCCCTCCGGACTGACTCGTCCGTCTCCTGCAGGGGGCAGTGGAGGGTCAGCATCTCCCTCACCGCTCGCTCCCGCTGACTGAGGACGCAAGGAGAAACTGTGTGAGTACTGCGGTAGTTCTCGTTAACAAACAGAAGGAAGAGGAGCTGGACCTACGTGTGGTCAGGGATGTGCAGCAGGATGAAGATGGCCATGTGCCAGAGGCCGGCGCTCTCCAGCTGCGCAGCGTAGCTGGCGTGGAGGAGGCCCTGGCGCGAGGCGCTCAGGTGGCTGTAGTGCAGCGCCTGCAGGACGCCCCACAGGTGCCAGCTCAGACGGTAGTCCAGACGCTCCCAGGTGACGGTCAGAGGGTCCAGCAGCTGCTGCAGGCTGTAGTGTCTGCACAGGGACACACATCAGGGTTAGTGGCCTGAGTTACACACTGGAGCTGCATTATGGGAAATGTAGGAGCTGCAACTTATTCAAATCTCTCACAAATAAAATGATTCAGTCATAATTTAACTTATTTACTTATCTGAGTTTTCAGGTTACTTTCTGTTAGAAGCAACATAACATGTTAGTTTAAAAGGCAGAAACAGTGAAGGTGAGGGACGTTTACCTGTCGCTGTACAGTTTGAGCAGGTGGAAGCAGAGGTCGTGCAGCGGCCGTTTAGACTCCTCCTCCTCTTCATCCTCCATGTCCGGCTGCTCCGCCTCCAGGTACGGAGGCAGGGGGGCGCAGGCGTACTTCCCCCCCTCACACGAGCCCTGTGGGACAGAAACAACCACAGCGATGGTCAGCGGTCTGTCTGCTGAAGGTAACGGCGTGAAAAATCTGACAGCAGAGCGAGAGGCGGCGGCGGATCACCTGGAAGGCGGCCTCATATCTGGCGAGGGCGCCGGCCACCGAAGCGGTCGGAGGCAACATGAACCAGAGGTGGACGGCCACGCAGCGCTTCCAGTCCAACTCAGAGCACACGTTCACCACAGACTCAGACGACTGCCACACCTGTAACAGGAAACAGCGGCAGCATCAGAGCACGGCTCACAGCCCGTCAGTTAGTGTTCACTGATCAGTAACATCAATGTGTGATCATTAACAGGCTTTGTGTACTGGAAAGATCTCTGCAGTCAGTTCCACTTTACAATCTGAGTGAGGATATTTGGTCATTATAATCGAGGTTAAGGCTAAAAGTATTGAAGGAGGGCCGCAGACTGTTTGTTTAAAATCCTTTCATGAAACATTTTAACCAAATTCAGGGCTACACTGTGAAACCGCCTCCAATAGTCGGAAAATGTCTTTGCAGTATTTCGGTTCAACCAGTCAAAAGTCGTACAGGTTTCCCGGCGAGCAGAGCGAAGATGCGCAGGCGCTCCTCGGGCAGGTAGCAGTCGGTCTGCATGCGGTTCCAGTCGGCGAGCTGAAGGGCCAGCAGGTCCCGGCAGTACTGAGAGCCCATGGCCTGAGACAGCAGCAGGGACAGACGGTGGTCTCCTGGGGACAAACAGTGTCAGTACCAAGACATTCAGCGACTCTTCTTTACTTATTTACATTACATTTTCACTCTCACCTTCCTTCTGTGCGAGCCGACAAGCCTCGCTGATGCGGTTGCCCGTCAGGTAGCTGAAGATGGCCTCCGTGTGGCGGCCCTTCCCCGCCAGCGCCACCTCCTCCTCCACCCTGCAGGTGGCCCCGCGGGACAGCCAGGCTGAGAAGGTCCTCCTCCTCTCCAGCTGCTGCTCGTACTCGCCGGGCATCTCCATGTCCGGCTCCTGATCTGCGGGGCCCAACCGGCCCCACAGGGCCTCGCACAGGGTCCAGACCTCAGACCAGTAACCTAGGAGGGCTGGAGGACGATGAAGATCAGATTATTTGAGCAAACTAAACTGAATACAGAAAAAGGACATAATCGACTGAATGTTGAAGAACACCATCAGAAAATGAAACGATTTAACGATGAATTTAAAATGGTGGAGAGGAATCCTGGGTCTCTTACGATCAACGTCTCCCTGCTTGTCGTTCAGTTCGGTGATCCACTCGGCGTACTCGTGCAGCGCCGCCACGCCGGGCTGCGGTCGGACCAGAGGGCAGGCGGAGGCGTCCGGAGTGTCGACGGTGCTGTGCTTCAGGCAGATCTCCAGGGGGCGCTGCAGCACCGCCTGGCTCTCCTCATCGTCCTCCTCCTCACTGACCTTTGCTGCCGGAGGATCCAGACCCACCAGCTGCTCCAGGACCACCTTGTAGGAGCTCTCTATCAGACTGCAGGAGACAGAACCGCTTTAGAACCAGGACTACAGAATCCACCTGTCTGCTTTGGGATTGCTGCTGTGTGTCTCTGTGTGTCTGTCTGTGTGTCTCTCTCTCTTATGTGTGTGTGTGATATATGTATATGTATAATATGTGTATATGTGTTATATAGTTTTTTATTTTATATTGGTTCAGTCTAATAACCTACTGTCAGTGTGACTGTCGCCAATAAGCATAATTAATAATAATAACGCTTTCCTGTGCTGCTCAGGTGTCTATTCTCATGTAGTTCAGTGTAACTGATCTCCCCCCCCCCTCTCTCTCTCTTAGGTGGCCATTTCTCAATATGCCTCAGGAACTCTGACGAGGAAGAGGATAGTTCGCTTAAAACCGACCCAGAAGCTGAAGACGACGATGTCACTCCTCCTCCAGGCTGCAGCAGCAGCTTCCCCCCTCCCAGCAGCACGGTGCGCAACAGGCTCAGTAGAGCAGCTGCGCCATCAACACTATCCTCCTCTCATCTATCATCCTAACACGACACAGCTGAGAATGATTAAAGGAGCATTTCTCTCAAACTGGCTCCAGCTGTTTGCTGGTAGACTTTTAAAATTGCTTCTTCTGCGCTGACGTCCGTTCCTGACGACGTTCAGTATTTTCACTCTGTGATCATCTCAGAACGACCTGATATTACTGAAGTTAGAGACCTTTTTCTACATGCACAAGCATTAAGCAGTTTTTATTGATGATTAAAGTGGAGCCTAAATGATGAGAAATATTTCCTGTTTTACAGATATGAAGGTGGAAGCTGTTTGTTATGCAAGTTTGTCTTTTATGGTTGTTGAGCAGAAGCCAGTGGACGATGTGGAGTTTAGCTCAGATTCATCGTGGAGAGCGTTGTGTGCCGTAGTTGTACGAACAGAAATGTGCCTGTAGAGAAGGCGTTCACAATCTGATGGTCTCCGTCAAAATAAAACCTGAGATAGTCGAGGCAGCAGACGGACAAAGAGCAGGACTTTCTGTTATTATTTTCATTTAGAAGCCCAAAAACTTTTTTTAGGGTTAATTTCATCCAGTAAAAGGCAAATCCACAGTGACGGAACAAACACACAGTAAACAAACACAACAGTAAACAACACAACGTGCTGCTCGAGTCGAGTCCGATGTTTGTGCAGTGAGGAAAGTGTCAACATCTCTGGAGCTCCATTGTTTGATCTTACACGAAGAACCGTCCACACAATAACCGATACTAATCCGATAATAACCATCCATTCAGTCACAGGTTGGAAACGGTGAAGCTTTTGGCATTTTGCTTAAAAGATGATTCTCATAAAATGTAAGAGGAGAAGATAAATGATGTGTGCAGCAGAGTTTATTAAAGTGCTGCTCGTAGTTCTGGTGCATATAGACGAGAATATGGGTCAAACTGTGTTCATCCCTTTCTGGCTCACATATAATAAAGTGTTTTTCGCTTTCAGGATAATAGTCTTGGGCATATTAGCTAACCAGATGTTAAATCTTTACCGCTCTGCGTCTGTCCAGTTCGATTGGCTTCGGTTTTGGGTTTGCTTTGTCAAACGTTAGGGAGATTAAATTTTTTTTTTGTCTCGTGTGTGTCTGTATCTCAGCCCACCGATTGCAGTCGCAGGCACAGATGTTTATTAACAGTCTGAGTCCGGTTTGACCTCTATAAATGCCCTTATTAACTGTATTTCTGTTGTCAGACTAGTGGAATAAACTTTAATTAACTGCAGTTTGAGTGAAAATATTCTGGCTGTTACAGCTGTTTCCCTCTCACTCGTTCTTCGGAGGCAGAACGTATCAATTATCAAAATAAAATGACAAAATCTGCCCAAAAACTCGACTCAGCGATAGTCGATTGGTCTTTACCCCGATGAGGACAGAAAACAACCAACCGATCAGGACAATGGTTGTGTGTTGAATGTGTGGCTGGTGTTTTGCATATATTATTGGGTTATGAATTCTCGTAACTATGATTTGTTCCTTGTCTTCACGGTTCAGGAGTGCTTGTAAATGAGTGGAGGGTTTGTGACATAAGATATCGTACTAATTCTTTCCAGAGGGCAATACTACTATGGCATAGTAATGAAATAAAGTTAATGAGAAGATTTATTGATTTGGGATCTGTATAAGTTGTGATTCAGATCGAGCAGCTTCTCTTTGTGCTGATAACCGATAATAAAAGCTTGGATTACACTGTGAGCTCAGGTATAAAAATGTTAGTAGCTCCAACGGAAGATTAAGATGTCTTTATTTTATTAGAGAGAAAGATTAAAGGAATAGTTTTCTGTGAGGGGAATCAGAATCAAGAATCACAAGTGAGATGAGTGAGATCCAGGTCTGATGATCACCCGGTACTGAGCGTCTCAGTGCTGAGATAGACTGATATCATGTGCAGAGAATGGAGTACAGGTCTGAGATCAGGTCTGAGGATCAGTCTGAGATCAGTTGAGAATCACGTCCTTGCAGGATCACTAGGTCTGCATGGATCATGTCATGTATCCTCAATAGGCGCCTGGAGCCTAAAGAAGTCAGAGCTGAAATGTCCAAGTTCCTGCAACGACTATATGAACTGTGTGTGTTGTTGTGTGTGTGTGGGTGTGTGCTCGTATGTGTGGTGTGGTAGTGTTGTGTGTCTTTCAGTCCCACTGTGTATTGGATCTTGTCCGTGTTGGCGTGCGGAGCTAGACATCGCTTGGCGACATCACAGAGCTTCCACGATGACAGCATGCTGGGGAGGCGGAGAGAGGACGGCGCGAGCTGCTGCGGGGGATATGGACACGTTGGGCGGTTAAGCTCGAGGTTTTTGATCTCCACGAGCACCGACGCGTCTTCTGCGTCCAGGCCACATGGCTGTCTCGCTGGCATCAGCGCGCCGCACACCTGCATGGTACAGCTGCGGCCCTCGCACGCAAAAGGAACGCAATTTCACTCATCTCAAGACCGCGCGCAAATAAAAAATCTCCTGTACTTTTATCGCGCAGATCATGAGAAGGCGTTCTATTTGTGAGGATGAGGAGAGATAGGACATGTTCCAGGACCACGACGCGATAGAAGGTTACCCTCCACTGACGTCTGTCCTCCTCTCGTGTCGAGTGCTAGAGCCGTCCTTGGTAGAGAACGCACTCATCTCGATTCCACTTACCTGTGGTTTAGTAGCCTTTATTTCTCCAGAGTCACAAACCTTCATGAATGCCCTGCTGCATGATGCTCGTTCACTGGCAGTAGGGAATTCTGTTTATATATATTTTATTAACGCGCTGGTTATGACTCTTTACTCTCCGGGATTCAAACATGTATCCCGGTTCCTGTCACATCTTCACATCATCTCATGAATTCCAGCAAGCGGTGGAAACGATGCTCAATAAAACCTCTAAAATGTTCAACATGTTTTAATCGTAGCATTGTTTTTGTATTATTGTTTTTGAATAAATCTCTCTCCTGTCTCTCTCTCTCTTCTTTCTTCTCTGTACTCTCTCATTCTCTTCGTCTCTGTGTTCTCTCTCATTTCTCTCTCTTCTTCTCTTCTGTCCTCTCTCTTCCTCTCTTCTGTTCTTTTCTCTCTCTCTCTGTCCTCTCTCTCTGTCTTTGCTCCTCTCTCTTCCTCTCTCTCTGCAGTGAGGTGGTCTCCTTCAGGCTTCGTTTTTACCTCGCGCCTCCTGCTAGCTGTCAGACTTCCCGCCCCCTCTTCCTCCTCCGCTATTGTTCCCGGGCTCTCCGGCGCCCGTTCGAACCTCCGCCCTTACACTGGTGCGGCGGGGCGCTCTTCCGAACTTCCTGCTCGCCACCAGATACTCCAGAGCTGCCGGTCAGGACACGGTCGTGCGTTCCGGCAGATCTGGCGTCAGGTCCCGTCGCCCCTCTAAAGAGTCTGTCACTCAGGGAGGTCTGTACTCCTCCTCGATAACGAAGATCAGAGAGAAAGCTTCCCCAAAACAACACATAAAAATAAAGTTGTGTTTTGTTGTGTTGTTGTTGATCAAGGGATTTGTGGAGGATGCGGGGCTGTTTTGCGGTACGTTCCTTTCGGGTGGGGTGGCTATACTTGGTCCCGCGGACGGTGGCCCCTGCGCCAGAAGCTGGCTCCCCAACAGAAAAACTGCTCGCGAACACCAGGGCTTTGACGCCAGAAACCGACTTTCGCTTCCGCCAAACCCCCAGGACA